TCCCTTGTCACAGCCCCGTCCTCCGCGCCTCCCGTGTCACAGCCCCGTCCTCCACGTGTCCCGTGTCACAGCCCCGTCCTCCGCGTGTCCCGTGTCACAGCCCCGTCCTCCGTGCCTCCCGTGTCACAGCCCCGTCCTCCACGCCTCCCGTGTCACAGCCCCGTCCTCCGCGCCTCCCATGTCACAGCCCCGTCCTCCGCGCGTCCCGTGTCACAGGGCCCCGTCCTCCGCGCCTCCCGTGTCACAGCCCCGTCCTCTGCGTGTCCCGTGTCACAGGGCCCCGTCCTCCGTGCCTCCCGTGTCACAGCCCCGTCCTCCGCGCCTCCCGTGTCACAGCCCCGTCCTCCGCGTGTCCCGTGTCACAGGGCCCCGTCCTCCGCGCCTCCCGTGTCACAGCCCCGTCCTCCACGCCTCCCGTGTCACAGCCCCGTCCTCCGCGCCTCCCATGTCACAGCCCCGTCCTCCGCGTGTCCCGTGTCACAGGGCCCCGTCCTCCGCGCCTCCCGTGTCACAGCCCCGTCCTCCGCGCCTCCCGTGTCACAGCCCCGTCCTCTGCGTGTCCCGTGTCACAGGGCCCCGTCCTCCGTGCCTCCCGTGTCACAGCCCCGTCCTCCGCGCCTCCCGTGTCACAGCCCCGTCCTCCGCGTGTCCCGTGTCACAGGGCCCCGTCCTCCGCGCCTCCCGTGTCACAGCCCCGTCCTCCGCGTGTCCCGTGTCACAGGGCCCCGTCCTCCGCGCCTCCCGTGTCACAGCCCCGTCCTCTGCGTGTCCCGTGTCACAGGGCCCCGTCCTCCGTGCCTCCCGTGTCACAGCCCCGTCTTCCGCGCCTCCCGTGTCACAGGGCCCTGTACTCCGCGTGTCCCGTGTCACAGCCCCGTCCTCCACGCCTCCCGTGTCACAGCCCCGTCCTCCGCGCCTCCCGTGTCACAGCCCCGTCCTCCGCGCGTCCCGTGTCACAGCCCCGTCCTCCGCGCCTCCCGTGTCACAGCCCCGTCCTCCGCGCCTCCCGTGTCACAGCCCCGTCCTCCGCGCCTCCCGTGTCACAGCCCCGTCCTCCGCGCCTCCCGTGTCACAGCCCCGTCCTCCGCGCCTCCCGTGTCACAGCCCTGTCCTCCGCGCCTCCCGTGTCACAGGGCCCCGTCCTCCGCGCCTCCCGTGTCACAGCCCCGTCCTCCACGCCTCCCGTGTCACAGCCCCGTCCTCCGCGCCTCCCGTGTCACAGGGCCCCGTCCTCCACGCGTCCCGTGTCACAGCGCCTCGTCCTCCGCGCCTCCCGTGTCACAGCCCCGTCCTCCATGTCTCCCGTGTCACAGCCTGAGCTGCTGGCATCATCGTGACCAGTAGCCTCGAGTGGACCACGTCCCCCTCCTGGGTTGGAGCTGGGCCCCACCGGAGACCTTGTCCAGTCGTGTGCGAGGAAGGAAGCCCAGCCCGGACGCTCCCCTCCCCCCTCCCCCTCCCCTCCCCCATTCCGCCTCACGGCCTGACCGCTTCCCTGACTGACAGGCTGAGCGTTGGCCTCACGTCGGGCTTTTCCTGGGCTGGCCTTGTCACCGCTCATGCTCTCCTCCACGTCGAGCACAGTTCCCTTCCCTGCGAATGTCACAGAGAGGAAGAGAGGGATAGAGAGTTAAACATTGATGAGAGAGAATCATCGACCAGCTGCCTCTTGCACACCCCTTACTGGGGATGTGCATGCAACCAAGGTACATGCCCTTGACCGGAATTGAACCTGGGACCCTTCAGTCCACAGGCCGTCACTCTATCTACTGAGCCAAACCGGTTTCGGCAGCAAAGTATTTTTAAAAATATAATTTTATTGATTTCGGAGAGGAAGGGAGAGAAACATCCATGATGGGAGAGAATCGCCGACCGGCTGCCTCCTGCAGGCCCCTCACTGGGGATGGAGCCTGTAACCCGGGCCTGTGCCCTGACCGGGAATCGAATGGTGCATGGGTTGATGCTCAATCGCTGAGCACACCAGTCGGGCCAAGGTCAGATCTGTTTCATGGCCACTAACCCTCCTTTAAAAGGCTGGATGTCCCAACCCTGGCTGGTGTTGCTCAGTGGAGGTTGTCAGCCTGCAGTCAAACGGGTCCCAGGTTCGATTCTGGTCAAGGTCATGACCTCGGTTGCAGGCTCTTCCCCGGCCCTGGTCGGGGTGCATGCAGGAGGCAACTAATCGATGTTTCTCTCACATCGATGTTTCTCTCTGTCCTTCCCTGTGTCTTCCTTCCTCTCTCTAAAAAATCAATGGAAAAACGTCCTCGGTGAGGATTAACAACAATAAATGAAATAAAAGCCATTGCTGCCCCGGAGTCACAGCTAACCCAGGCGGGGGGAGCATGCCTCGGAGGGAGGAGTCCCCGTCCGGAGGCCACATGAGCTTGGGGGGAGGCCGCACACCTTCCATTCCCTCAGCGCCCCTGCCCTCAGGCCCACGGGGAGGGGAGCTGCCCACTGGGCTCCAGCAGGTGCCGGACACCAGGGGTTCGCACGCCGGTGCCCAGCCGGCCTTCAGGTGCAGTGACAGCTGTGTGGCCACGGGCTGAGCCTGGCACTGGCCTCGCTTGGTACCTGTGACTCTCCTGGGGGCCCAGAGGCTTTCCTGGGGGTGAGCACATCCCCGCCTCCCGGGAGCAGCGGCAGCGAAGGGCCCAGGCCACCGTCGGGCCCCCAGGCTCAGCGTCCTGGGGTCTCGGGGCCGCCTCGCCGTCCACTCTTCCCTCCCAGCCCCGAGCCGACCCAGGCGTGTGCTCAGGGTGTTCCATCAGCCCCGGGCCATGCACTTCCCCAGCCTCGCCCCCTGCTGTGTGCAGACCCCGCTCCGCGTGGCCCTGACCCTGTCCCCGCAGACACAGCTCCACATGGCTCTGACCCTGTCCCTGCAGACCCCGCTCCACATGGCCATGACCCTGTCCCTGCAGACCCCGCTCCACGTGGCCCTGACCCTGTCCCTGCAGACCCCGCTCCACGTGGCCCTGACCCTGTCCCTGCAGACACTGCTCCACATGGCTCTGACCCTGTCCCTGCAGACACCGCTCCATATGGCCCTGACCCTGTCCCTGCAGACCCCGCTTCACGTGGCCCTGACCCTGTCCCCGCAGACCCCGCTCCACATGGCCCTGACCCTGTCCCCGCAGACACTGCTCCGCGTAGCCCTGACCCTGTCCTTGGGCCCAGCACCCCTGCTGTCCGCAGACACTCTGCATGGCCCTGACCCTGTCCCTGGGCCCAGCCCCGTGGCCGCCTGTGGCTGGGGCAGCACCACTGAGACCGCAGTAGGAACAGCCATCGGGCCAAAGGGAACACAGCACAATGGACTTTTGTGACGGGGACCCGGCAGGGGGGCCTGGCCAATGGCAGCTGCCCAACCCTAAGAAACAGCTGGGAAGGTCAGAGGTCATCTCTAGCAGCCTCGCTGTCCATCGGGGCCAGAGGAGAGCAGCCCCAGGTCCAGGTGATCCTCTGCTCCAGCTGCTCCCAGGTGCAGGGCCTCCTCCTCCTGCAGAGCAGTACATATGGCAACTGGCCCCTGGGGAACGTTCCGGAAGCCTGCAATGGGGCGGACATCCTCTCCAGTTCCCGGACTCTGCGGGTCACTAACATCCTGTGGGGCAAAGGCACGCTGGGCCTTGACGAGGAAGTCTGATTTCTCGGGGCGCGGGCGCACCTGGAGGGGACTCGTCGCCGAGCCGTGACGGGCAGGGAAGACCAGCTCAGGAGCCGGTGAGCTCGTGAGTGAACAGACAGACTAACGTTTTGTCACCGGCCCCCGGACAGGCTGGTCTGCCAGCCTCGGACCCAGTGCCACAACCTGAGGGGCGGGGGACCCGCAGCGAGGGTAACGCCCCTTCCCGTCCCTGTGCGTCTGCTCCGAGTCTCAGACAAGAAGGGGTGGGTTTTAGCATTAGGGTTAGGGTTACGGTTAGGGTTAGGGTTAGGGTTAGGTTAGCTTTTAGCATTAGGATTAGGGTTAGGGTTAGGGTTAGGATTAGCTTTTAGCATTAGGGTTAGGGTTAGGTGCTGTTCCCCCAGTTAAGCTGGGACATTCCAGCCCACAACCCAGGCATGTGCTCTGACCAGGAATCGAACCGTGAACTCCAGGCACCGGTTGACTCTAAACCTCAGGTCACAGCGGCCCAGGCTTTCCCCACTTTAGACAGTTCTGAAGTCTGACCTACAGCCTAAAAGAGTCAGACACGATGTGTGTGTGTGTGTGTGTGTGTGTGTGTGTGTGTGTACAATGAGGCGTGAACACCCGGGCAGCAGCCTGCGTCCAGGTGGATGTAGGGTGAGGGACCACAGTGGTCACTGTCGCTGACCTGTGAGGCTGGTTCTCCGGTCCCCTCACCGAGTGGCCACAGAGAGAGAAAACCTCCTTTGTGCGAATAAGATGAACACTTACAGACACCCGTGCTTCTCTGGGCCCAGCAGGGCCCCTGAGACGTGGACTCAGGCCACCGTGTCCCCTGGCAGGGCCAGTCGGTTCTGAGGGCTCTGTGTCATCTGGGTGTTTAGCCCAGAGGCACACCTGCCTCGAGGGCACGGCAATACCGGGGGAACCGCAGACCCTGGTCTGTCCCTGTGAGCCAGCATGACAGCACCGTGTTCCCAGTACAAAGCCGTCTCTGTGGACCATTCATCCTGCCGGACAGCATTCTGTTTTCTGCCGAGTGCTGGGCGTCGGTGTTTTGCCTGAGTTGGAGGCAGACGGAAGGCTGTGATTGTTATTTTCCACCGGCCGTTTGCTCAGGAGCCAGCCTGGCCGACGTGCGGTTTGGGGTAAATACTCCTGACCTTTGGCATTGCTCTGAGCCGACTGGAAGGACCAGGGCCACGGAGAAGGCAGAACCTGCAATGTCGCCTTTTTCGTTCTAAAGTAATGAAGCTTCCGTAACGCTCTCTCTCCACCACAAGGTGAGACCACGTGAAATGCGAACAGAATGAAAGCTGTCGGATGAGTGTGGAGAGAAAAATCTGACAGCGCCGCTTTTTTATAAGACCTTTATTTTTGTTTTTCACAATTCGTGTTACTCATCCACAGATCCAGACTGTCCTTTCTCCAAATTAAAAACAAACGCAGAATGACTTAAAGAAGATTCTGTTAAAACAGATTTGGCCGTTAGGCCCTAACAGACATAAAGAGAGAGAGAGAGAGAGAGAGAGAGAGAGAGAGAGAGAGAGAGAGAGAGAGAGAGAGAGAGAGAGAGAGAGAGAGAGAGACATGACATCCATCGACAGCTGTGTTAAAGCTAAATCACCTGGCAGCTTAAATGCTTTATGGACTGAGCGTTTTCCTTTAAATCTCAGTGTCTGTGTCTATGGCAACGTGTTCTTTCGTCAGGAGGAAAGACAGCCATGTTCTCTGACAGCCGTGAACCGGCCCTACCGACCGGAGGGGCTGGCAGCTGAGTGACAGGCGCGATGGACCGGGAAGAGGCCTGCGTGAACCCGGCGGGGGGTCTGGATGCCACGGCCACGCCTGCGCTCCCCACATCGGCCACCAGGTGGCGCAGTCTGCCTTTGTCATGAAGAGAAGGCCAGTCCTGGCCAGGGGACCCCCAGCCTTGTGGCTGGAGGGGTCTAAGGCCTGGGGGAGGCCTGGCCCTCGCCCTGGACGGTGTGTGCCTCTTGGGTGGGTTGTGAGGAGAACAGCAGCCCAGGTGGAGACGGGTTTTGGGGGACGGTTTGTCCACCGAGCGGCCAGCGGTTCCCAAGGGGCCGCCGTGACGGGTGGTCATCTCACTCCCGCCAAGCGGGACCCCACGTCCCTCCACCAACCAAGGGCTGTGCCGTGACCTCCAGGTGACCTGAGGGCCAGGCACAGAGCTGTCAGCCATGAGGGCCAGTGCGTGGCCTTGTTCGCACTGCTAGGATTCCGGGCCACAGCGCCTGGTTATTCCGGGACCCGTGGGGACGAGGCTGGCTCCTTGTTCATTAGCTCGGAGTCCGAGGCAGAAGTCCAGCCCCCAGGGGCCCACAGAGGCTGGCGAGCAGATAGGGCCCTGAGGTCGCAGGGCAGGGCCCGTCCCAAGGCGGCCGGGCTTCGTGGGAATGACCCTCGCGGAGCTGCCCCGTTACTGACGGGGTGACGGGCTGTGGTCCCCCGTCCACGGCTCTTCTGCAGAGGAGGAGGTCTCAGCGACGAGGGAGGCCGGTGAATGCAGCCGAAACGTCCTCATCGGGTCACAGACCGGCTTCCCGGGAACGACCATCGCCATCTGGGGACAGAGGCACCGTCACCGAGGACCTAGAGGAGAGAGTTCCCGTGAGGAGGGTGCCAGCTCCCTGCGGAAGGCGAGCGACACCCTCACCCCGTCCTCCTCCGGGTGCGGCTCCCGGGCAGCTCACCCCTGGGCCCCTGTCGAGGCCTCGAGGAAATGGAGGAGGAGAGAAGGGGCAGACGAGAGAAAACGGAGATAAAGAGGAGAAGCGAGAGAGCCAAGAAAACAGAGACGGGGACAGAAGCAAGAGAGGAGAGAACACGGGGAGAATGAAAACCAAAGGGAGAGAGGGAGAAAGTGAAGAGAATGAGGAGAGATGCGGGAAATCCAAGAAATATAGAGACTAAAGAGAGAACGAGAGATCCATGAAAATGGAGAGCAGTAGGAGAAAAGCTAGAGATACAGAAAATAGAGAGAATGAGGAGCGAAGTCAGATATGGGAGGAAATTGTGAGAATGTCGAGAAGAGAGATCCAAGAAAATTGGGAAAATGAGGAGAGAAGCGATTGATGTAAGAAAATTGAGAGAATGGGGACAGAAGCAAGAAATCTGAGAAAATTTAGAGAATGTGTAGAGAAGTGAGAGATGAGAGAACATTAGGAGAGGAGTGAGAGATGGAAGAAAACGGAGAACAGGAGGAGAAAAGCTAGAAGTACAAGAAATTTGAAGAATGAGGGGAGAAGAGAGATGAGAGGAAATTCAGAGAACGCGGAGAGGAGCCAGAGAGCTAAGAAAACGGCGAGGAGGGGAGAGGCAACGGAGGAGAAACGTGAGTCCCCGTGCGCTGAGGGGACGCAGAGGCGGGGACGGGCAGGTGGTCACCACCCCCACGGGGAGAGCGTGGCCACCTGGTCCCTGAGACGGGACTTACCACCTGCAAATCACCATCCAGGCGGCGGTGGCCAGGACGCAGACCAGCAGGGCGCCCAGCGCGATGGACACCAAGGACGCCTTCGGGAGCCGCCCGGAGTCTGGTGAGAGCCGGCCGGGCAGCACACCATGGGTCTCAGGCAGTGTCAGCGGGCCTGACCCGAGCCCGAGCCTGACCCTGACCCTGACCTGACCCTGAGCCTGAGCTGACCCTGACCCTGAGCTGACCGTGACCCCAACCCTGACCTGACTCCAACCCTGACCGGACCTGAGCCTGACCGGACCTGAGCCTGACCCCGATCCCACATCTGTCCACCGAGCCTCTGCTGCCTTCCCTTCTGTGCACCTGGCCTCTGCTGCCTCTGGCTGTGCACCTGGTCTTTGCTGGACTCGGGGTCGGGCTCAGTCCTGCGGGAGGCGGATAAATCTCTCCCGTTTATCATGTCTCCATTGTTCTCCTCTCACAGGAGCTAGAAGGACGTTACACACCCTAGCTCTGCCTCGGGCTGGGTCCTCTCTGTTCCGAACACGGTTAACGCCGTGCTGAGCCCCCAGGACAACGGGGCCACGGGGAGGGCTCACCGATGCAGGTCCGCCCGTCGCCTCCCAGCGTGAACGGCTCCGAGCACTCGCACCGGAAGCTGCCCAGCGTGTTCCTGCAGCCGGCAGGCGCCCGGCAGGGGGGGCCCCGGGCGTCCTCACACTCGTCAACGTCTGCACGGAGCACGGAGCACGGAGCACGGAGGTCAGGGCGGCTGAGGACCAGCCACAGCCCGCTCCCCCGCCCCTCCCCTCCCTCTCCCCCTCCAACTCCCCTCCCCCTCCCCCCTCCCCCCTCCACCTCCCCTCCCTCCCTCCCCCCCTCCCTCCCTCTCCCTCCTCCTCCCCCTCCCCTCCTTCTCCCCTCCCCCTCCCCCTCCCCTCCCTCCCCCCTCCCCTCCCCTCCCCTCCCTCTCCCTCCCCTCCCCCTCCCCCTCCCTTCCTCCCCTCCCCTCCCCTCCCCCCTCCCCCTCCCCTCCCCCTCCCCCTTCCCTCCCCTCCCCCTCCCCTCCCCTCCTCTCCCCAGGCCAGGTCGGCAGCCACACGCTGGGTGGCAGCTCCTGTTAATGCATCTGGAGGGCGGGTGGGGCAGAGCCGCTGGGAGACGCCCGTTGGCCACTGACCTGAGCACACGGGCGGCTGGCCGGCCCGGCCCCGGGGGGAGCAGGCGAGCTGCTGGGTCCCCTGCAGCCGAAACCCGCGCCGGCAGGAGAACACGAGCACACGCCGGCCCCGGGGCCCGCACAGCACGGCGTCCCCGTGGGCCACACGCTCCAGGCCGCACACGTCCTCTGGCCGGGAAGGGGGTCAGTGGTCACCTCACCACCCCCGAGGGCCGCCCCCAGGCCCCAAGCACCCCCAGGCCCCACACAGTCCCACGCACAGCCCCCCAGACCCCACACAGCCCCCCAGACCCCACACAGTCCCACACACACAGCCCCTCAGACCCCACACAGCCCCCCCAAACACCACCCCCACACAAACAGTCCCACATCACACAGACCCTCAGACCCCACCATTCAAAAGGCCCCCCTCAAAAGGCCCCCCCACACGGCTCCCCTCTCACAGCCTCCCAGCCTCGCCTCAGCACAGTCCCCATCGACACAAGCCTCACACACAACCCCACACAACAGCCCCCCAGACCCCACACAGTCCACACACACCCACAGCCCACAGACCCCAACACGGCCCCTCACCAACCCCACACACTCCACCACACCAGCCCTCACACAGCCCCCCTCACACAGCCCCTCACACGGCCCCCCTCACACAGCCCCTCACACGCCCCCCTCACACAGCCCCTCACACAGCCCCTCACACAGCCCCCCTCACACAGCCCCTCACACGCCCCCCCCACACAGCCCCTCACACGCCCCCCTCACACGGCCCCCCTCACACGGCCCCTCACACAGCCCCCCTCACACGGCCCCTCACACAGCCCCTCACACGGCCCCCCTCACACGGCCCCCCTCACACAGCCCCTCACACAGCCCCTCACATGGCCCCCCTCACACAGCCCCCCTCACACAGCCCCCTTCAAAGGCCCCCCCTCAAAAAAGGCCCCCCTCACACTGCTCCCCTCTCACACAGCCCCCCTCACATGGCCCCTCACACAGCCCCTCACAAGGCCCCACTCACACGGCCCCCCTCACACAGCCCCTCACACGGCCCCCCTCACACGGCCACCCTCACACAGCCCCTCACACAGCCCCTCACATGGCCCCCCTCACACGGCCGCCCCTCAACGAACCAGCCCCTCAACATCACCCCACAGCCCCTCACAAGGCCCCCCTCACACGGCCCCCCTCACACAGCCCCTCACACAGCCCCTCACATGGCCCCCCTCACACGGCCCCTCACACGCCCCCCTCACACGGCCCCTCACACGGCCCCCCCTCACACAGCCCCTCACACATCACACAGCACGGCCCCTCACACAGCCCCTCACAAGCCCCCCTCACACAGCCCCTCACACGGCCCCTCACACAGCCCCTCACACGGCCCCTCACACGGCCCCCCTCACACAGCCCCCCTCACAACCCCCCCACACAGCCCCCTCACAAGCCCCCCTCACACGCCCCTCCTCACAACAGCCCCCCCTTCACACGGCTGCCCCTCACAAAGGCCGCCCCCACAACAGCCCCCCCACACAGCCCCCCACACAGCCCCTCACACAGCCCCTCACAAGGCCCCCTCACACTGCCCCCCTCACAAGGCCCCCCTCACACAGCTCCCCTCACACAGCCCCCCTCACACGGCCCCCCTCACACAGCCCCCCTCACACGGCCCCCCTCACACGGCCCCCCTCACACAGCCCCCTCACACAGCCCCCTCACACGGCCCCCTCACACACGCCCCCCTCACACGGCCCCCCTCACACAGCCCCCTCACACAGCCCCCCCTCACACGGCCGCCCCCCTCACACACCCTCCTCACACAGCCCCCCTCACACGCCCCCCTCACACAGCCCCTCACACACGCCCCCCTCACACCGCCCCCCTCACACAGCCCCCCTCACACAGCCCCCCTCACACGCGCCCCTCACCCGCCCCCCTCACACAGCCCCCCTCACACGCGCCCCTCACACGCCCCCCTCACACGGCCCCCCTCACACAGCCCCCCCTCACACAGCCCCCCTCACACACGCCCCCCCTCACAACAGCCCCTCACAAACGGGCCCCTAACACAGCCCCCCTCACACAGCCCCCCTCACACAGCCCCCCTCACACAGCCCCTCACACGGCCCCTCACACAGCCCCCCTCACACGGCCCCCCTCACACGGCCCCCCTCACACAGCCCCCCCCACCCCCCCCCTCACACAGCCCCCCCCACACGGCCCCCCTCACACGGCCCCCCTCACACACCCTCCTCACACAGCCCCCCTCACACGGCCCCCCTCACACGGCCCCCCTCACACAGCCCCCCTCACACAGCCCCCCTCACACGGTCCCCCTCACACAGCCCCTCACACGCCCCCCCTCACACAGCCCCTCACACGGCCCCCCTCACACAGCCCCTCACACGGCCCCCCTCACACACCCTCCTCACACAGCCCCCCTCACACGCCCCCCTCACACAGCCCCCCTCACACGGCCCCTCACATGGCCACCCTCACACGGTCCCCCTCACACGGCCACCCTCACACGGTCCCCCTCACCACAGGGCCCCCCTCACCGCCCCCTCACCACCCCTCCCTCACCAGCCGCCCTTCCACGGCCCCTCACCCGGCCCCCCTCACAAGCCCCCCTCACATCCCCCCCCACACAGCCCCTCACACGGCCCCCCTCACCCGGCCCCCCTCACACGCCCCCCTCCCACAGCCCCTCACACAGCCCCTCACACAGCCCCTCACACAGCCCCCCTCACATACCCCCCTCACACAGCCCCTCACACAGCCCCTCACACAGCCCCCTCACACGCCCCCCTCACACGGCCCCTCACACAGCCCCCCTCACACACACCCCCGCACAGCTCCTCACACGGCCCCTCACACGGCCCCCCTCACACACACCCCCATACAGCCCCTCACATGGCTCCTCACACGGCCCCCCTCAGTCCTGACCCACCCACAGGGGCCGTGTCCTCCCGGGTGATCGGGGGCATGAGGGGGCGCTGGGACGTCTGCCTCCCACGGGACGCCTGGAGGGGCTGCCTCCTCCCAACGTGCTTATCTGAAGCCGCCTCTGCGCTGGAGCCGGCGCCCCAACCCTGAGGGTGGTGGTGGGGCAGTTACCTGGGGAGCCTGTTACCTGGGGGCAGTTACCTGGGGGCAGTCACCTGGGAAGCCCGTTACCTGGGGGCAGTTACCTGGGGGCAGTTACCTGGGGGGCAGTTACCTGGGGGCAGTTACCTGGGGGGCAGTTACCTGGGGGCAGTTACCTGGGGGGCCTGTTACCTGGGGGCAGTTACCTGGGGGCAGTTACCTGGGGGGCAGTTACCTGGGGGCAGTTACCTGGGGGGCAGTTACCTGGGGGCAGTTACCTGGGGGCAGTTACCTGGGGCAGTTACCTGGGGGCAGTTACCTGGGGCAGTTACCTGGGGGCAGTTACCTGGGGCCGGCTCCCTCCAGGCCTCCAGGTCCAGGCCGGGGACGGCCTCGCACGGCACAAAGTCCTGGGGGGCCGTGGCCGTGCGGAAGGCGTCGGGGGGCACGCTGGGGAGCCCCGTGTTGTCACAGATGACCCGCGCCAGGGAGTGCGCCCCCAGCGCCCGCCGCTGTGCCTCCGAGAACACGCCGGCGTGCTCCCACCAGAACCTACGGGAGGGGGCGCATCAGAGCTCCATCTGCCCCCCCTCCCCCTGGGGGCAGTGAGGGCCCGGCTCCCACCAGAACCTACGGGAGGGGGCGCATCAGAGCTCCATCTGCCCCCCCCACCCCCTGGGGGCAGTGAGGGCCCGGCTCCCACCAGAACCTACGGGAGGGGGCGCATCAGAGCTCCATCTGCCCCCCCCCACCCCCGGGGGCGGTGAGGGCCTGGCTCCCACCGGAACCTACGGGAGGGGGCGCATCAGAGCTCCATCTGCCCCTCCCCTGGGGGCAGTGAGGGCCCGGCTCCCACCGGAACCTGTGGGGGGGCCTTGTCAGAGCTCCATCCAGACACCCCCCCCCCCCCCCCAGCGAGAGGACGGCGGCTTTTCTCCCGGAGTCACTGCCTGAGACGCTGCAGCTGGGCGTGAATGGGGGGGCCCTCCTGGGAGAACCCCAATTGTTAGATCACCAGCATCCGGGGAGCGAGCCTGCTGGCCACACGCCTGCTGAACGGGGCCCCCCGACCCCAGGCCTGGATGACCCCTGTGACCCAGACCCCAGACCTGGCTGACCCCCGTGACCTGGACGCGGTCTGATGGCCGACCCCTGGCTGACCCCTGTGACCCGGACCCCTGGCTGACCCCCGTGACCTGGACGCGGTCTGATGGCTGACCCCTGGCTGACCCCTGTGACCCGGACCCCTGGCTGACCCCCATGACCTGGACGCGGTCTGATGGCTGACCCCTGGCTGACCCCTGTGACCCAGACCCCAGACCTGGCTGACCCCCGTGACCTGGACGCGGTCTGATGGCTGACCCCTGGCTGACCCCTGTGACCTGGACCCCTGGCTGACCCCCGTGACCTGGACGCGGTCTGATGGCTGACCCCTGGCTGACCCCTGTGACCCGGACCCCTGGCTGACCCCCGTGACCTGGACGCGGTCTGATGGCTGACCCCTGGCTGACCCCTGTGACCCAGACCCCAGACCTGGCTGACCCCCGTGACCTGGACGCGGTCTGATGGCCGACCCCTGGCTGACCCCCGTGACCCGGACGCGGTCTGATGGCTGACCCTTGGCTGGCCCCTGTGACCCAGCCGCGTGTGACGGCCCACACCCACCGGTCGCCGTCCCGCAGGGCCTTCATCTGCCGCCCGATGAGGCAGGCGAACAGGGGCCCGGTCCGCGCGCCGGGCAGCGGGTCCTCGGCCAGGCCGCCCAGCCACACGTCCACGTGGTCCGGGTGCCGGTACAGGCGCAGGATCCGGTCGGCCACGCTGCCGTTGGCGATGACGCTGCCGAGGTCGGCCCGGGTGTGCAGCCTGCGCAGCCCGCAGAACTCCCGCCAGGCATTGTACCCTGCACGGGGCGGGGGGCACGGCATGGGGTCAGACATGGGGGCCGGGGGCAGGGGGCAGGGGGCTCGGGGTGGGCCCTGGGGGCAGGGGGTGTGGAGGGGACAGCTGAGGGGGAGAGGGGACCAGTGTGGACAGAGTGAGGGGTGCGGGGGGAGAGCCCAGGGCCCGGCCTGAACAGAAGGGCCAGGCACACCATGGCCGGGAGGCTGGGCCAGCGGGTTAGGCACAGCCCAGGCTGGGGGGGGCGGGGGACAAGGGAACGGGGCAGGTGGCATGGACTCCAACCTCCCCATGACATGTGTCACCCAGGCCAGCCCTGGGAAGCCTGACACTGACCCCGCGATGGCCCGGGACGCCCTGCTCCCTGACTCCGCCCCCGCCCCCCCCCGCAGGGTCCCCCGGCGGGGCCCCCCCCGCACACAGGGCCCCCCCCGCAGGGTCCTCCCGCAGGGCCTCCCGCACACAGGACCCCCCCTCCCGGGCGCCGGGCCACAGGTCCCACTGCCTAAGGGAGTGAGCAGCTCCTCTGCGGACAGAAGAGGGGGCGGGGGGGACGGTGGTAGTGGGAAGTGATCACCAAAGAACTTTATGCAAACACGCGTCCCCCATGGACAGACAGCAGGGGGGCTGGGAGGGTCAGTGGGGGTAAAGGGGAACATGTGATTCTTTCAACAACAAAGACTTTTTGAAAATAAAAGGTGTAAACATTAAAAAAGATAATGATAAAACAGGACATATAGTACCAAGGGGAAAAAATTATTAAAAAGAAATAAAAATAGTCCTAGCTGGTGTGGCTCAGTGGATAGAGCATCAGCCTGGCCTGAAGGGTCCCGGGTTCGATTTAGGTCAGGGTCCAGTCCTGGGTTGTGGGCTCGATCCCCAGGGGGGGCGTGCAGGAGGCAGGCGATCCATGCTTCTCTCTCATCATGGATGTTTCTCTCTCTCTCTCTCTCCCCTCCTTCCTCTCTGAAATAAAAAAATATATTTAAAACATAAAAATGAAAACAATAAATGCATTTCAGCCCAGAAAGCACCCCCACCCACAGGAGGCCGGGGGGCTGTGCCTGTCGGATGGGCCCCCGGGCGTGGACGGCGGCGTGCAGACTCCGTCACTGCAGAGCCGACGCGGGGTGGGGTTCGGCCTCTGCGCCCGGGCTCGCCTGGCAGCCCGTGGTCCCGGCCACGCTGCAGGTTCAGCGACGCCAGGTCGAAGGTCCCGGCGGGCGCCAGCACCGAGAGCCGCTCCGTCAGCTCCTCGCTCACCAGCCGGTCCTGTGCCGGCAGCTTGGCCGGCCGGGCCAGGAGGCCCCGCACCAGGGGGTCCACGCCGCCTGCAAGACACCCAGGCCACGTGTCCCGGCCGGACCCGGCCACGCGCTTCCCTAACCCGTGTCCCGGGGCCCACGACTCAGCCCGGAGCGCCCCGTTCTCCCAGACGCCTCCGGGAGCCTGGCCCTCGTGCCCCGCTCTGAGGGACTGACTCCGGGGCGGGCGGGCGGGACCCAGACCCGCCCCTCAGAGGCCCAGTGTTTGTTTTTGATTCTCACCGAGGCTCCTTCCCCCGGTTTCAGAGGGGATGGGAGGGCGGAGGGGGAGGAAGAGTCAGCGATTTGCCTCTCCCATGTGCCCCGAGCAGAGCCAGGGATGGAGCCTGCATCCGAGGCTCGTGCCTCTGACCCCGAACCTGGAACCCTCCGTCCACGGCTCCAACCCCGGAGCAACCAGGGGGATGCTCAGTGTTTTGCTTAATTTCTCTGCAGCAAAAACATTACAGTCGAGGGCAGCACTAGCTGAATTCCACATCAGGAGCAGCAGTGGGACGTGGCTTGGCTGAGGGAGCCCTGAGGCAGCCCTTCACCCGCAAAGCGCCAGCCATCCCCGGGGACCCCATGGGGACCGTCAGTCCCCCGGTGGCCCGGCTGCACCCTGGCCTCTCCACACGGCGTGCTGACTGTTTCCGTGGTGACCGAGCGAGTACAGGGGCCTCCTCCTCTCAGCCACTCAGAGCCAAGAGCCGTCGGAGCAGTAGAGAAGCTTCCGGACTCACAGAGAGAGAACGGGGGAGGGAGGGAGGAGGGACCGGGGTGTGGGCAGAACCTGCCTCCCTCACCCAGGAACTGAAGTGGCTTCTAAACCGTTCACTTCCACACATGACCCTGCCGTGACCCTGCCGTGACCCGGCCGTGGCCCTCTGAGACCACAGAGCACTGAGCGTGGCCACAGCAGCGGTTAAGGGAAAAGGGCCTCCTTTGTCAGGCAGGATATAAAGTCCGATTTCCACTCCGTGTTACCGAAACCACAGGGCGGGGGCGGAGGTGGGGGGCGGGGCAGCCGGGCCCGGGACACTTCCCCTGAGAATTCTGAACTGCAAGGCCTGACGGCTGTTTCTGAGGAACAGTTAAGCCTTCAAATCTCCCGGCAGCCCGGCCGGCGTGGCTCAGGGGTGAGCATTGACTGGGAACCAGGAGGTTGGATTGGTCAGGGCACATGTCCGGGGTGCGGGCTCCATCCCCAGGAGGGGGCGTGCAGGAGGCAGCCGATCCGTGATTCTCTCACAGCACTGATGTTTCTCTCTCTCCCTCTCCCTTCCTCTCCGACATCAATAAAAATGTTTAAAATTAAATAGAAAAACAAAAGCTCTGAGCACAGGTGCTTCCCCCATAAACACCCATGACTGGCAGGATCTGCCCATATGAATGTAGTACATGCTGGCACTGAAGGTGCTGTGGCGGACTCTGTCAGAGAGAGAGAGAGAGGAGAGAGAGGAGAGAGAGAGAGAGAGAGAGAGAGAGAGAGAGAGAGAGAGAGAGGAGGGGGGAGACAGAGAGAGGGAGAGAAAAGGGAAGGAGGAAGAGGGGGAGGAAGGGAGGAAATGGGGAGAGGTGGAGAGGGAGAGAGGAGGGAGAGAGAGAAGAAA